GTGCACTTCAGGGGGCTGGGACAGCCCCACAGGAATCAGGGCGGTGTCTGCACTTCCGGCTGGGCGCTCCATCTGGGACAGGCTGTGCCTGCAGCACCTTTTGCCCACACAAGCGGGTGTGTGTGGAAGGCAGCTGGAGAGAAGCCTGGGGCCTCAGGAGAGACGCGGCGAGCTGGGAGGCGCCTGGGGTCTGCGCCTGCGCCCCGGCGGAGCTCCCGCCCTGTCCCAAGCAGACACTCAGGAAACGTCAGGAAGCGGCCAGCAGCCCTTCCTTCTCTTGGGGACACAGAGGGGGGAGGCTGTCCTGTGTCGGGGCAGCAAGGGGACCAGCACGAACGGAGGCAAGGAGGGAGGCAGCGCGGGGGACGTCTGGAGACAAGGTCGGGCCTGGAACACCCAGAGAACAGACTGGAGGACTGCAGCGGGAGGAAAACTTGGACTGGCTGTTTGGATGTGTGCCTGCAGGCCTTGATGGGGAAAAATAAGTGCCCAGCACTCCAGGCTAAGACAAGCTACTATACTTTATCACCAAGTCGAGCTGAGGTTCCAGGTAGCCAAGGCAAAAAGCGAAACATGAAAAGGAAAAACAACCTCCCTCGTGACAAAGGGCTCAGAGCACGCCCTCCGGAGCCCAGCCCGAGACTCAATCATGCCTCTGTCTCTTACCAGCTACCTAGTTGCTTTGGCATAGGTATTGGTCGGCCTCAGTGTAATTCTGTAAAATACGACAAATACCAGCGTCCACTTCACAGGGTTGTTGTAGGAATGAAACCAGCTGACACTTAGGAGGAGCTGAGAGCCTAGCGCATGAACCGCCAACGAAAGTTAGAAACCGTTTCATCACTGCCTTCCCTGGCTGAATTCTTTTGTAGCCCAGGCTGGTCTTGAACTCACAGTGATCCTCCTGCCTCAGCCTCCCACCGGCATGCACCACACCCAGCAGTCCCTGGCTGAATTCTAAAATGTGTTCACAGAAAGACCCCCGAGCTACCTAGGGGGCAGCACTAGCGATACGTTGGGTGGCTGTGTCTCAGTGGCTGTGGCTCAGGCTCCTGGATGGAGCCCGGTCAAGGAGCGTGCTGCCAGGGAGCGGGCATGGCCAGGTCTGAGCTTCCTGGCCGCCCTCTGGGCCAGAGAAGGGCGGAGAAAGGAAGGCGTCTCCTCCCCATTCAGGTTGCCCTCTGGCCTGGCTCTGGGCCTGAGCCGTTTCCTGCTTCCTGACTCTTCCGCACACTCACGCTATTTCTCATATTGTCCCCCTGCCCAGAACACCTCTTCCTTCCAGAACCCTCCTGGCAGACTCCTATGCGTCCTTCAAAACTCCCTTCCAGAGGGACCGCTCCTTTCTGCAGGCTTCCAGGCACCTCTGCAGGGGACCCTGCACCTCCGTCTGTAAGATTCGGAGTGGTGACAGTTGTCTTGATGATGATGGTAGCTTCCCCAAGCACTACGTGAACTGCTTTACACACATTATTTCTATCAGGGTCTTCTTTCGTAACTCAGGCTGGCCTTGAACTCCCTATGGAGCCCAGGTTGGCCTCAAGCTTGTGGTGATCCTCCTGCCTCAGCCTCCCAAATGCTGAGATTACAGGCATGCGCCACCATGCCTGACTTACTTCTATTAATTGTTACAAGCCAATAAGGCAGCTGCACCCGTTTGAGGGACAGGAAACAGGCATAAAACAGTGAAAGAGCTTGTACAGGGGCCACACCACTGCGCTGACGGCCTGCCAGTACTGAATGTGATCCCCACCAAGGCCCCATCTCCTCACACAAGGCAAGAGGTAGCCATTGGCGCCCCCACTTGACAGACAGGAAAACTGAGGCTGGGCACTGGAGGGGGCCACGCCCAGGTTTCACTCTCCAGTCTCTTCATACTCGCATCCCTGCTTTCTCCGTAGCGTCTCCCTGGCCCCTTAGCACGGCACGGGCCCACAGTAGGCCCACGGGAAACACTTGCTGAATGCCGCCGACCGCATCGGGGTGCGGGTGGCCCGCAGAAATGCTCCAGGACTCGAGCGCTTCCGGCGGAATGCAGTTTCCAGCCCAGCCCGGAGAAGCCGCTATTTTTGGCCGGCCCTGCACAAATGTTGTGTGGGCTTCCTTTCTGCTACTAAATGTCACTGCTCTGCTTTCCTCCTTCGGTCTCCTGCCCGGCTGGGGAGAATTACGCAAGCGGAGCCGAGGAGTGAGTCACAGCCCCAGCTGCCAAACCGTCCGCAGCTGCCAGGGTCCGGAGGGCCCCTTCCCGGCTGCTCTAGGCGGTTTTACACCGTTTTCTTCTTTCTTTTCCTTTTGCTTTCTTTCCTTCCCCCTCCCCCAGCCTTCTTCCCTCCCGCTTTCTTTCCTTCCTTTCTTTTCTTTTTTTTTTTTTTTCCTGTTGTATTTTATGTTTGTTTTGAGACAGTCTCACTATGTAGCCCAAACTGGCCTCAAACTCCTGGCAATCCTCCTGCCTCAGCCTCCCAAGTGCTGGGATTACAGGCATGTGCCACCATGCTGGCATCTTTCTTCCTTCCTTCTTTCATTTCAAGTTACCATCTCTTTTTTTTCTTTGAGGTGATGCTACAGAGCACAGCAGACCTTCAAAACCTCTGCCAGGCTCTGGAGCGCAGGGCCACCCAGCCAGGCCCCACAGGGATGGTACCCTGAGGGGCTGGCCCACAAGCGACCGGGACATCTCTGAGGGGTGGATAGAGACTCCTCCCACTAGGCCAGCTGCCGCCACCCGCCCCCAGCGCCCTGGACGAAAAGCAGAATTGGGCCTCAGCATCCCAAACTGTGGCTGTGCCCTTCATGGTCTCCACCCCGCGTTTCCTGGGTTTGTCAGGCAGAGCTATTTACTTCCACAGTGCCCTGGTAGCCTCCAGCCAGGGCAGCTCTGGGGCCACCCTGGCCCTCACAGGATGTGCATGCTGCTTGGCCAGCAGCGGCTATGGGCCTCGCAAGTGGGCACTGCCATGGCCGGGGACAGTAGCCCACGGGGCACCTTCCGTGTTCCAGGCACAGTGCCGGGCAACGCGCAGGAAGAGCAGGCTGGCCGCGCAGCCACGTGAGTGCCTCGCCTCAGGCATTGGCGCCGGCCAACCCTCCTGCCTCACGCCAGGCAGATCTTCCTGGGTGTTACCTGTCTCCCTCCACGCCCACACGAGCAGCACGGGGCTGTGGTCTTCCGCGTTCTGAACTCTGCGGTAGCCTCAGTCCCTGGAGCACAGGGTGCACCCTCAATAACTATCCCCTCAGTGAAGAAGCCCATGAACAAAGGGTCCGGATCACAAAGGTGTTCCCAAAGCTTGTGTGTGACAGCTCGGTGTCCTGCTGACAGCACTGCTGGGAAGGAGGAAGTCGGGTTATCGGAGGTGCCCTCAGGGGTACTGGGGCCCCTTTTGCTTCCAGCCCCCATGAGACGAACAACCTCCCTCCACCCCCTGCGCCTGCCACCATCACGGACTGTGCCATCACGGCCCAAAGTAGCAAAACCCAGTGACCAGGGACCAGCACCTTCGAAACCGTGAACCAAAATAACCCTTTTCTCCTTACACGCGATTTTCTCAGGTATTTTGTCACAGTGCCAGAAACCTGACCACCAGAGGGATCTTTGGGATGGTTAGCCTAGAGTGTGAAGAGTTGGCCGTGCCCCGTGAAGGCCAGGTTCTTGAGCTCCCCAAGATCCAAGACCCCCTACAGGTTTCCCACCCCCTGCATCCTAGGAAAAGCACAGCCTCAGTTACCCTGCAGCGTGTGGCGGTACTCTGAAGTGACACAGCTTGTTGGCAGGAGAACGGCACTTAGTCTGTGATCAGAATCTAATAGAGGGACAGATCCCTCTTCAAAGGCCTGATTTAAGAGAGGAACCCTCAGCAGGGAAGAAAGCCATCTTCACGGCCAGCGCAGGTGGCAGGTGCTGTCCCCTGCAGCAGCAAACCTGACCGACACCCTTGGCACTGCAGGCCCCCAGGAGGGAATTCCCAGGGGTACCTCTGCAATTGCACACCCACTCTCATCCTTTCAAAGACAGACCTTTTCTGTAAAAGGCTGGCTAATTTTTTAAATCTCTTCTCCCATGAAAACATTGGTTTTCCCTTTATACACATTCCAGAATTTTTAATATTCTCCCTCTCTTTCCCTGCCTCCCCTACCAACCATACCACCTAAATAATTAAAGCATGTTTTGGGCAGCGGAAATGAATGTATACACTGGTAGCCAATACACTTGGCCACAGTGCTCTTTTATATGTGTATAAAAATTAAGGGGAAGATGCTTACAATTTAAAGATCTTTTCGTTTTTGTTTGTTTGATTGAGACAGGGTCTTGCTATGTAGTTGAGGCTGGCCATGAACTCACTGTGTAGCCCAGGCTGGGCTCAAACTTGTGGTGATCCTCCTGCCTCAGCCTCTCGGGTGCTAGGATTACAGGTGCATGCCACCATGCCCAGCTTTCCTTTATTCTTTACAACAGTCCTCTGAGCAGATAGAAACACTAAATATAAAGCATTTAAGCAAGCCATCCACCATGGAGGTACCCTGAGTACTCATTTAAAAGTGGAAAAACCTGAAGCACACAGAGGTAGCTGAGTTGCCCTGGGTAACCCTGGGAAGGGAAGCCAAGCAGTGCATTCCTTTCAGCCCAGCTTGCAAGGCAGCTCAGTGAAGCCAGCTCCTGCGTACAGGGTGATCAAAATCTAGGGGAAAGTTCACACTTTTCATTTATTACAGTAAAAGACGTAGCCATTCATTCCTCTCCAAACCCTCCTCCCCCTTGCTTTGAACACACTCATCCCATCATTCTTGCCCCTTTCTGAAGCAGTTCTGGAAGTCCTCTTTTGTGAGTGTCTTTATGAGGTGTGATCAAAACTACGGTGAATGCCGCTGCTGAGCGCTGGGGCCAGGCCTCTTTCCTGCCTAGTGCTGGGTGCCACTGTGTGCCTCTCGCGAGAGCAGACGTCCCAGTCCGGAAGGCTGCGCCTGCACAGCCCCACTGGGCTTTGTGGGGAGACAAGGAACACGCTGGAGGGTGCAGGTGTCAGCAAATACAAACGCTGGGCAGATCCCCAAGGGTGTGGATGTCCTCAGGCCTTCTGAGGCTTCAGGCTTCATTCTGGAGAGACTTCTGCAGGACTTTTCACAGAAATGCAGCACGCTGAGTTGCATTTTTAAAGGATGACTCTGGCTCCCTGTGGACTGGCGGCAGGTTGGCCCGGGACAGAGCAGGACGTTTGTCCCCACTGTGACCACATCATCCCACCACCTGCCACGGTGTGAGGAGCTTCGGCCCCTCTCCTGCCATCCACCCTGAGAAGGAGTCACACCTCCACACTCTGTGTAAATGGAGCTGTTTGAGACTGAACAGGATGTGGTCTGGGGATACAGCTCCGTGGTGTAAGTGCCTGCCTGGCAAGCGCAGGGTTCTGAGTTCAAGTCTCAGGACCAAAAAAAAAAAGAGAGACTGAACAGGTTGTGGATTTCCCAGAGTCACACAGGCTATCAGTGACAGAAGAAGGACAAAAGCCCAAGTCTCTGGACCACCCCCACTAGCCCGGGTGGCAGTTCTTCCAGGCCTCCAGAACCTAACCCTGGCTCCCCTAAGCATCAAGCCGCACGGGTTTACTGAGGTCTTGCTACGAGTCCAGCTGTGCTGGGACCTGGGAGGGACAGTGAGTGGCCAGGGAGACTGCGGTCTGGTCTGGGGAGGAGACTGAAGCTACCAGTTGATCTGTGGATCTGTCATTGGTTTCAGTGATGGGAGTAGGTGGCAGGGCAGCTTCCAGGGATGGTGACAGCTCCTATTGAGACCATAATTGGTTTTTTTTTCTTTGGTACCAGGAATTGAACTCAGGACCTTGCGCTTGCCAGGCAGGTGCTTGTGCCGCTGAGCTATATCCCTGGCCCTTTGATCTCCCTTGAGTTGGAAAGGCCCTGTGATGTCTAGGAAACCAAGCACCAGGCCGGAAGTCTCTGCAAAGCTCTGGGCCCGGGGTGGCTGCCAAGACCGCCATCATGAGAAGGATGAAGTGGGAAGCGGAGGAGGTGGTCCAGGGAGAATGGGCAGCAGGTGTGACTGCCAGGACAAGGGGAAGCGGTAGGGACAGCAGAGGGGAGCAGCAGGACAAGAAGGTGATAAGCGGGGTCAGCAGCGACTCTGGAGCCAGTGTCTGCCGCGTGGCCGTGGGATGAGGATGGGCTGTCATCAGCCGCAAGCGCGTGCTCAGGACCTCACAGAGGATGTTTAGGGGGTTCTGGGGCCCAGGCAGAGGCCGGCAGCAGATGGAGCAGTGAGTGGGGAGGGAGGACAGACGTCACCGTCACTGTCAAGAAGCCGGGCTCTGGGGGAGAGGAGGGAAACGAGGGAAACGCAAGCTCCCACTTTCCAGTTCCTACCACCTGACTGTTGGGGGACCAGAAAACGGGGAAGCCCCGAGATGTCCCGCCGCTGCAGAGCCGCAGAGCGGGGGAGGCTGCTCCTCCAGTGGTTACGTGGGCTTCCTCCAC